AAAAATTAAAATGAAATTAAAAAATATATTAAATAGTAGCTGGGAAATTAAGTGAAGTAATAATTATAGATTTGAAAATACAATAATAATTGAAATTATATCAAATAGTAGTGACACAGAAAGTGTGACGTACAATGTTTTCGATGGACGTTTCAATGTACATGTTCAGAAAATAAAATAATTAATTATCTTCTCAGGGAAGAAATCTGAAGCAAAACTATATTCTTTCTTGTAAAAAGTTATAGTTTTTTGAATAGCAATAAAAATAATCATAATAATGGTGATAAAAGTTATTTTAATAAAAAAATACTAAAAATTTTAGCTGTAATGACGGAACAGTAGAGACCATTTTGTTTAAAAGGAAAGTACAGTAACACGGAAAAGAGTTAAAATTTGTATTATTAAGAAAAAAAGTTGTAAGAAAGGGAAAATTATGTACTGTAAGCGATAACCAGAAAATGAAAAGAAGCAGAAAAAATGCTAGAATTTAATGCAAATGAGGAAGAAGAAAAAACATTATGAAAATTTTATAAAAAATTTTTTAAGCTATTAAAAAAAATTGACGCATCCGAAACGTGTAACCATACACTTAAGTAAATTCAATCGCTTTTTATCCACCCTATTAGAGCCTTAGGCCTTAGCTTCTTCTGGCTTAATTTTTTCTGCCTTTCTTAGTTTGAGAATCTTCCTTGAAAGTCATCAAATATTTCATTGCATCAACTAAATATTTCATTACTATTCATTTTCTTTTTATCTTTTTTAGCCTTTTTGTTGTAGAAATAAATACTTGAATAGGCAGGTTTTTTGCATCGCTTACTCCAACTTCACTCACTTCACATCACATTTGATTTTGTGACTTTTTTATTTATACATTTTAGTAAGTTTGCTTGACATATTGCAAATATTCATAATTTTTTTTCATATATTTTCTTACAGTACTTTCTACAGTATTTCATTGCTAGTATACTTTCATTAAACGTAATATTATGGCAATTTTATTTTTTGATTATTATATATATATATTAATTTGATCCTTTTGGATCTGCAAATAGCTTTAAACTACATTAGATTATTACATCACAGATTGTATTAATTTTGAATTACACTATTTAATTATCTGCATTTTTACACTCTCCTCAATTATTTTCACCTCTCGTTTATTGCTGTTTTTTGTAATAATTTCCATAAATAATAAATCAGACTTACTTTAATGCAATCAGTTGTTCAAAGTTATGAGTATAACTTTGAACAGCTGACTGCAATAAATTTTATCATTTAACAAAAATCACTTAAATTTCTTAATTTACACTTAACTGCAATTTATTGAAATTTTTGATAATTTCGAATTTAATTTTTAATTTATTCACTTGATAATTGCCATAAATCTTAAATTACTTGAAACTGCATAAATGTGAGGTGAAATACAAATTTATAGCTCTGTATGAAACTTCAATAAATTAATTCATAATTTCAAACAAATTGCATGAAACCTAAATACTGACTGGTAACTTACAAAAGTAATTTGAAAGCAACGCTCAAATTTTTGAACTATATTTTAATAAAATATTTTTTGACAATATATTTATTTCAATAAAATTATCTATAACAATATTTCACGTCAAATCTATTAATAATAAATGGAATGATTATTGTGCTTAGCTTGAAAATGCAACATTGAAGTCTAAAATTGAAAACTATTTTTTGGATTATTTCCTTTCCGACAATTTTTTCTTCAATTTCCTTATCACTTTCTTCTGAAGTGACTTAATTTAATTATTGCAAAGAATCAATTCAAAGCAAAGTTAATTACATTACTTTATTATTTGTATTATTTTTTATTATTGGCATAAAACAAAACAAACGATAATTGTCATAATAAAATTATTACTGAAGCTTAACACTGCGATAGTTTTATTCCATTGCATCACTGAGTGAAAATTACTGAGATTAGCAGCAAATTTTGCAGATATTAAAACTTTGCAAGCACTCAACTTGACACTGTTATTTTTTGACAAGTTTGAAAATTCGCTTGTGAGAACATTTCATGCAGAAAATCCTTCCACTTCACCGAGCAGTTATTTTTGTTTGCCTTTTATTTATTATAATTTTTTTATTTAAAATTTTGTAACTACTGTGATGTCAGCTAAGTTAACTCATTGTTTTGTTTTAACTTCCTTTTACTCTTCCTGAATTATTTAAGGTATTTTGAATTTATTGTAGAATAGTCAGTTTGAGTTATTATACTAGCAGTAAGCTTTTTGTAAGTGTTTTCATGAAATTGTGAAGCTAAGATCAAAGTGTAGTAATTTAACATACATAAAATAAAAAATTGTAAAGCGAGAATTATTACCATTTTGATATCTTTAAATTATAAATAAGTCCATTTTCAATTACAAGTAATAAAAGTAAGCCTATAGTCAGCCAAAAAACCGATTGCAAAATGATTATTTAAGTAATATAATTAGTATATGTGATTATTTATTACAGTTATTACTACTATTATTTATTATCAGTTATTATTACTATTTCT